CAAATAGGATTATTCTCTAATCATACCAAAGGTAACATCGATCTACGTTTCCCAAACTGAATTGTTTTGGACCATTTAAATAACACTAACAAACCCACCCGGCACTCAAAAATATCTCCTCGACAAAGGTGCTGGATCTTGTCAAAACGAGATGCTGCTTGGGGAATAATGTTTGAAACCCGAGCGAAGAGGAAAAAGGTAAAAAGAAAGGCACACATAAACGTAACGTCTTTGCTGTAGCCAAGGTCAATAACTGAAACCAATTTGGACAAAGTGTCTGGTGTAATGGAGGGTGCCCGATTAGGGGTATGCTTAACAGTACGCTGAATACCTTTCAAAGTCAAACGAACCTCGTACGACTGAAGGAATGGGAAATCAAACCCCGCCATTAAATGCAAAAGTTTAACCCCACTTAAATAGTTACGAATAGACTGCAGAGAAAGGGATCGACTAAGAAATTGACAATACAATGCAATAACATGAGCGTTAGCAGGAACTGGTTTAAAATCAAAGTATAAACAAAATGCTAAATAACTTTTCCACTGCGACCTACGGTTCTTATGAGTTCCTGGAGCATACACATGTAGTCATGTGCGCTTTAAGTCTTCCTCCAGCGCAAGTCTTTCAACATCTGTAAAAGAACAGAAGTTACAAATCACTATTGAGTGCAAATAACTCATCAGTGACAGTCTCCTCCCTAATAGATCCAGCGTCCCCACATTCCGTGGCAAAAAGTCCTGAATACTTGGCCACGTCCAAGTGCCGTCGGCATAAATAGTCTGCAAGGCAGAACTAGGAACTAGCTAGGCCATTTATAATTGGCATGCCAAAAAGAAATAAAACTTTCTTGCGACAAACAGCGGGCTACCCCAAGTGTGCAAGATAAAGCACCATCCAGGGTTTTCATTAATTTTGGGAGTAGAAGGCTAGTTTCATGAAGTAGATGGCTGACACCGATTTGAGTGCAGAAGGGAGAAACCTCTGAAGGAGCATTAAAAATCAGACTGATACATTTGCACAACAACAGAAATGTTGTGCCACTGAAATGCTTTTTTACACATTCTCTTGGAGATATTTTGTCAAAATA